TGTTGCTGGACTCCCATGTAGTCAACTGCGGTTCGAGTCTCGGACCCGGTGGCTTAAACTTATGCCGGGCGCATGTGCGTGCGTGCCCAAGATGCTGAGAGGAGAATGGAGGAGAAGGGATTGTGGTGGGGCCATACCCCCTGTCTCTCTGTCTCTCTCTGTCTGTCTGGTAAGCGCACATGCCTTATAGCTAAAAACCTCTTCAGAAAAAGAAAAAAAAGAATCATGCTTTTAAAATTTTATTCATTATTCATTATTCATTATTATTATTATTATTATTATTATTATTTGACCAGAGAGAAAGAGAGAGGGAAAGTGAGAAATCAAGGTGCCAGGCCCAAGACTCAAATCATGGTCAGTCATGTGGGAGTCCAGCCCCTCAATCACCATGCCACTCGCCAGCCCCTAGAATCATGATTTTAATGTTTTGTACATGCTAATAACTTCCAAATGTCATCTCCATCTAGCCCTCTCCCCTGAACTCCACACTCACATATCTACTACCTACTTGTAGTTTCTAGTTGGTGCCCCAATAGGCCTCCCAACATTACATGTCCAAAATCACACTTTTCCATTTTTTCTACTTCTCTTACTTCTTCATAAAAGGTAAAACCATTTCCGTGGTCTGTAAAGGTCTACACAACCTGCCTTCTTGGAGACCTTATCACCTTACACACTGTTCCTCTCCTCACAGGTGCAGAGCACCTGTACTTCTCAACTATTCTGGCATCCTCACCTTTCTTTCATGTGCCAGTTTCTTACCTGTGAGCCTTTGCAGATGTTGTTCCCATTACCCCAAAATCTCTTTGTCCGGAATTGTTACTTCCTTGCCTTCTTGAAGGGTTGTCTCAAAAGTTGCCACAGTGTGGCCTTTCCTAGTCACTTTCTCATCATCCCTGGTTTCAAAGTCAGATTTGTGATTTCAATTCATCTGAAGAACCCAACAAAGTTTTATGAAGTACAACTGTCCAATACCTTGCCATAACTATTATTTTCTTTTTAGCAGAGAGATGTTTACATCAAAACAAAAAAAGAGATCACTATGAATAAGGAAAAGCATCCAGGTGAGACTCCATTGGCTAGCATGGTACAGAGGGCTTTTGGGCTAAAAAGACTAAGGTTCTAATCCCAGCAGTGCCTCTGACCACTTCTATGATCCTAAGCACATCACTGAACACTCCAAATATGTAAGAATGAGAAAAACAGTAATTCCTAAGAGCAAGACATTTGTGAGGGTTAGATAACACAAAACAGAGTATATTGAGTTGTACCTGGTAAGTAGGTATTTCATATACTTCCTTTTTCCTTTACCTTGATTCTAACAATGTTATTAGTGCACATAGCTCTTGGCCTAGAAAAGAACTGTGTGCTGAAATGTAATTTGTGGATGTGATATTTCAAGTGCTGAACGTATTTATTCATAGAAACTATGATGCACATAGATGATCATTAAGTTACTGGATCAGTCCACAAAAGCCTTTCTACCATGCAATGAATCTGCCACACAATGTGCTAATAATGCTTACAGCCTACCACCATGTAACTGTATAATTGTTAAAATATAATGAAAAAAATTACTATAGGGCATGTGTTCTCACCAGAGGGTGGGGAGCGAGAGAGAGAAATCATCCCCCAGTGGGATGGCCATGTCACAATCCTTTCTCCTCCCCTCTCCTCTTGGGATTTTGGGAACGTATACCCGGTAAATTTTTTAAGCTGCTGGGTGCAAGACTCAAACCACACAGTCGTCCATGTGAGATTTGGCTTCCTTTACCACCACACCACCAGTTGGGCCCACAATGCTACAATTCTTAGGAAAATAAAAATCAAAATTTCAACTTGAAATGTAATGAATACATTTTCTCTGACAATAAAAATGACAATACAAATACAAATATTTATTGGGCTGTTACTATTTTCCAGATACCATTTTAAGTGCATTAGAGAAATTAAATCTTCATTGACCCTCTGAGTTAGATACAGTGGTCATCTTTATTTTACTGAGAGTGAGCCCAAGGCATAGAGTTTGGATCAAGAGCCAGAGTTCCAGCCCAGTTAAAAATGGTTCCAATACCAGCGCCTTTTACCCCTGACAAAATGTGCAGGATCATCTTTTACCCTCTTTTCCACTTCTCACCTGTGTGGACAGTAACGGTGGGGATCACTTTAGATCCCACCACTGGGGGTGACTCCCAAGTACAAGGGAAGAGATTATAGCCTTAAAGGCTATAAAGACAGGGAGATTAAGAGATGTGGCTAAGACTCTATGGTATGAAATACTGTATCATCTACAGATGACAATCTGGAAGCCCATAGGGATTTCATGCCAAGTTTCATGTGAAAGTATCTAAATGAATATTGTATGGGAGAAAACTCAGAGGATATGGTCTTTCTCCCAGTTAAAAACTATAAATGATTCTCCTTGGGAAATGAAAAAGTGATTTTTAGAAATGGTAAACTGGGGGGTCAGCCGAGGGCCTAGTGGTTAAGACACTAGACTTGAACATGGTTGATTGCAGTTCGATCCCAGACCCTGCAGCTTGAAACTCGTCCTGGGTGAATGTGTGTGAGTGTCCAAAATCCCAAGAGTAGAATGGAGGAGAAGGGATTGCAGTGTGGCCATTTTTCTCAGGGTGGGGTGGAGTGGGATGAGGGTTGGGGGAGTTTTATTCTTTTTGTCTCTGTCTCTGGCAAGTGCCTGAGCCCTAAAGCAAAAATCTCTCTCTCTCTCATAAAAGGTAATGATAAACAGGCAGTAAAGGTACATGGGCACACAAAGCCTCAGTTAAGATTTATTTTTGTTTTGCTTTTGTATTTCATAGAAATGTTAAAACTCAGCTAACCAATGGGATAGTTTTAGAGGAGAAGGAAGGAATTTTTGGAATGTATGAGATTGGGAGTTTTACACAGCAGACACTTCAAGGAGACCAGAGCTGGGAGAGGTGGGAGGCAAGAGAAAGATTTTCCTCACTACTTTCAATTCATTCTTGACACTTTAAACTTGATTTTGGATGTGCCTAGGGAAGTATGTAAAATCAGGAGCTATTGCTGGGATGGGACAGAGAACTACAGGGCAGCTTGCCTGGCAGAAGTGAGAGGATAGACATCTATCAGGCATGTGCGGGACCATGCTCGTGTTACTCAGGGCGTTCATCTCTAGTCAATACCCGGCTGAGCAGAACTCTATAACAAGCAGCATAATATGGTCCATGACCACCAGACTGAACCTGATAACTCCTTCCCATTCACTTTCTCAGTTGTTTTCCCTAC